ATATTTTTTTCTTAAAAATTCAAACGTGCCAGTTGGGAGCGGAGAGGTTACACAATCGTTTAATAAAGAAGGCATTACGAAAATTTTCATCGTTGAATGATTTTGGAAAATTGTAATGAAGAACGTATTTAGAAAATTGTAATGAGGCATTTTGAAAGTTGTAATAAAGAATGTATTTTGAATTTGATATTTTTTTTTAATATTAAATAATAAATAAATAAAGCCTTAATTTGTAATAAAGAACGCATTTCGAAAATTGTAGGAAAGAAAACATTTCGAAAATTCTAATACAAATTTTCGAAATGTTTTCTTTCCTACAATTTTCGAAATGCGTTCTTTATTACTAATACATTTTGAAACATGTAATAAAGAACGTATTTCGAATATCGTATTTTTATTTCTTAAATATTAAAAAACGCCAAGATCGTGTAATAAACAACGCAATTCAAAAATATGAGAATTAAGTAATAAATAAGACATTCTGAAACATGTAATAGAGAACGCATTTTTAATTTGTTATTTTTTTTCTTAAATATTAAAGAGTGCCAGCTCTTAATTAGATAAGTTTGAAGAATGCATTTTGTCAATTGTAAGAAAATAGCTGCTTCCTGCCGCTTGTACTGGTAGCGACATCTGGTATATCATTATTGAATGATTTTGGATAATTGTTATAAAGAATGTATTTTAATATATTTTTTAATTTAAATTGTCAATAGACTTAATTCCAAATATGTTTTTTATTACAGGTTTCAAAGTATATTCTTTATTACAATTTTTAAAATGTTACATAAATTTGCAATAAAAAATGCATTTCGATAATTGTAATAAAGAATACATTTTGAAACATGTAATAAAGAACATATATAGAAATTCATATTTTATTTCTTAAATATTAAAAGAGTGCCAGTTCTTAATTACATAATCTTGTAATAATGAACGCATTTCCAAAATTGTAATAAATAAGACATTTTGAAATATGTAAAGGAACGAATTTTGTATTCTTTTTTCTCTATTAATAGAGTCACAGCCCGGCAGACGTCCACCGCTGAACAAAGGCCCCTCAAAGAGTACCAGCTCTTATTTACATAATTTTGTAATAAAGAACACATTCTTAAAATTGTAATATGAACATTTTGAAATATGTAATAAAGAACGAATTTTTATTTGTTTTTATAATTTAAGAAGAAAAAAGAAGTATATGCGTCAAAATGCGTCGCGAAAAGCATCCGGTAAGTGACGATGATGATGTCACCTGATGGTAAGTGATTACCACTGCCCATAAGCACCCGTAACATCAGGGGAATGTAGGTGAGTTGGCGGCCTTTTAATTATGATAAAAAAAAAAAAGAATAAGCTCTTAAGTTAGTATTAACTACTAACTAATGTATGTAAAATATAATATATATGTATTTATTTTGTAATTTAGCATCCCCTCTAAACACATTGAATAATTAAAACTTTGGCCGTATCGAATCACGGCTGATGTACTACATAATTTCATAATCCAAAAAATGTGATAATAAATACAATAGAGTAACAAATAAAAGTTGATAAAAAAAAAAAGTTCCTTAATTGAAGGTTTCAATATCGTATCGGTTCGGAAATACCATCGCTGGAAGGCGTTCCACAATGTGGTTGTGCGTGGCAAAAAAATTATGAAACAACACACTGTGGACGACCGTGAATACTCAATTATAATTTAAAACATTATATAAATATATCTACGCATTCGAAATTACGACTCATCATCTGCTTCTTCCTTATCCCATTGATTTGTGGTCATCGTAATGTTTTTTCTCTTCCATTCATTCCTGTTCGCAGTCATCTCGTTATTCACTCCCTTTCTTACCATATCCTCTTTCACACAGTCCATCCATCTCTTTCGGCCTTCCTCTGCCCTTATTGCCACATTCATATGTAACAAATAGCATTCGAAATTAAGAATGCGATATGAAATTAAAAAAAAAACTTTTTTTTATATAATACATAGACATTAATAAAAAGGTTTGTAGATCTAGCCGAATACCACTAATAATTATTTACAGGTATTACCACACGTAAAGCCTAGGTTATGTGGATTAGCACAAGTTACCTGACACCAATAGGGTGGACTGGTCAGCTTTGGATAGCAACTGGGTGACGTTGTTAGAAGAAATAGGAGTTTCAAGTTACTTTAGGGTTACAAATAACAGTATGCAATAATTCCTTTGCCAATAAAAAAGCAAGTTTACACTTTCCCGCGCTTTAGTGTAATAATATTTTTAATGAGTTATATTCTTATTTCAAATAAGCGGTAATTTAATTTAACAAGAACTAACATAGAAATCCAAAAGAAGAAAAAAAAATCAATATAAAATTGTGATTAAAATAGTTACTAAATTCTATATATCTGTTACATTTTGACTTATATAGTTGCAAAGGAGTTAGAAGAGATAGTATATACAAAACTAATTCAATTCGAAATTTTAAATATTGTCTCTTGACAAAATAATTTTGAATCGAAATTTGAAATTTGATTGTCACTCAACAAAATAATGTTGTTTTTCTATATAGGCAGGCAAAGGTTAGAACCATACTGCCAGTTCTTCAGTGCTTTTTCATTTTCTTTATTATTTTTTTATTAAGATTTTCAAATCTGTTGTTTATATCAATTTTGCTATTAAATCTAATTTGTATATGACAGTTCTTCTAACTTATTAGAAACAAATGTATATGGATTTAGTTGACATTTTAATCAGGATTCAATGTTAATTCTTATTTATAGATTTTAATGAAAAAAAATTAAATAGCAAGGAATTAATTTACTTATATTACATTTTTGTTTATAGCAACTCTACTTGTAACTTGAAACTGGTTGGTTATGACTGAGCGAGAAGGGGTAAACAAATACGTCGGAATGCCCAATACAGGAGAAGAAGCGAATAAGGGGTGACAGGGTGAACGAAAAGCTGTGAGCCCGTTTGACAGTTGGATGCCGCATATGTCAAATAAATGTAAAATTAACATGACAACTACCGAAGACAATAGTTGTATATGCTGAGTCCTTTTGCCTTTCCCTGAAACGGGAAAAATAAACCAAAAAAAAATTGACATGACAATTTTTTTTTGTTCTGTTTGTCCTTTAACGGAAAAGTAAAGGGATCTGCGCCCATACAGCTATGTCTACATGTTTTCGTGTTTTTCTTATTTATTTTTTTATGTCTTGAATTGTTGATATACATGACAAATGAATATCACATTTACATTCTATTTTTATGTACTTAATGTATTTGATCTATATTTATAGTCAAATAAAAAAATATTACTAAATTGATTAATTTATTTACATTACATTTTTATGTCAATAGAGTTAATAATAAACTGTAATTTATGATTTCATTAATTATAAATATTGTAATTATTAACTCTTAAAAGATATTTAAAAATTTATTTTCAACAACAATTTTATTTAATTTAACTTTCGCTTTTAATACATCATCATTATTAATATCTTTAAACGTGTTTAAACAATAATTTAATGGTAACTTTTGGTATAAGTCGAAACGTCGAGAGGTAAATACCATTATTTACCATAAAATTATTCGTGTTCGGACCCGTTTTAATATATCAATAACATGATTGTGTGTTTGAATTTATTACTTGTTTTAAATACGTTTCTGAAATTGGTTTTAATTTTTATTTATTTGTTTATTCATCCAAAATAGCAACTAAAATTGTTATGTCAGCTAGCATAGTGCAATAGGTCCTTATAGTTCTTTATGATCATTATTATAATATAATCATAGAATCATTAAAATAGTCATTTACGGAATAATAATGGAAAATTATAAACAGTTTTAAAACTCTAATTCTATATACTAATGTTATACATCCCTGTACTTTTGTTGGTCTGTGTTGGACTAAGTTGATTTTTTTTTACAATCTGTTTTAAAGTTGATTGTTTTAGGAAATAGGGTTACACATATGCGGCTCACTGATGGTAAGTGATTATTAAATGTTAAAACTTGCTTGCGGCTCGTATGCTAAGTGATTATAGTTAATTTAAAAAATATAGTATTTAGAATCCGAACTGTCAAACGCAACCGATAGGGTTATGAAACGTAAGCACCAGCTACCGATATCTATGTTAGAGCCCATTTCGACAAACTGACATTGACAATTGACATTTGACATTTGGATGTCAATTTGACAGTCGGGAAAATGTCAAGGGTGGGCTGTGCTCATAATCAGATATTAACTGAGTTCATAAAGTATCTACGTATTGTTTTGTGCCTATTTAGTTTTTATTGGAGTTTCTATATGTTATTATTATGTTTTTATTAATATATTATTACACTACAACAAGTATGAGGTTATATCTGTTTAATAAATGTTAAAACTTATGTTTGTTTAGTATTCAGAGCTAAATGACGTCCGAATTTGACATTTTATATCAATCATATTTGATTTCAATATGCAGCCAAAAATATTTCAGAATAAATAGTATAAAAAAATGTCGTATTTATAATACTTAATTTTTTTTTAAGTAATACGATAATGATAGTTTTATAACTTTGTGTGAAAAATTAATAAAATATTTAGCAAAGATTTCAAACAAGAACTAGTTTTTTAAATAAACTTTATTTTTTAATCTGAACTGAGGGAACTGGGTTTCGTGGCACAGGTTCACCTATATCAAAAGCCAGGGCTAACTATATTTAATTGTACCGTACATTTATAAAGTTTATTATTATTATTATAAAAAAAGAGTCCTAAAAGTATTGTTCGATGAAATAAGATCTTAAATTTGCCAAATATTTTTTAAAAAGTTAAAAAATAAAAAACTACTTTTTTAAATTTACTTTTTTTTAAATTGAATGGTTAAATGACGCGTAGTAGTTGTTCAACGTAAAGTTATAACCGTTAAACATTACAAAATACATTATGAACACAGCCAATCCCTGACAATGAGCAACGCAAGGTTGGTAAGGCAGGGAACCACACCAGTACCAACTACTCACAATCTCTGCAGGTGTCTCTGTCTCATGAACAGACCGTCAGCCAACTGGCCGATACGGTTATTGTTCATTTTCCTGGAATCCAAATACACAAATCGAATATAGTTTGATTGGTCGCTGAAAGGAAACGAACTGGCTGGTTGTAATGAAACAAAGTCATATTCTTTTTTTAAACATAACAACTATGTTTCACATGATCGCTACGTTTAAATAAAGAATGTGAGTATTCTTTTTTTAAAATTAGCAATTAATGACATCAAACTTAGAATGAAATTATATATAATAAATATATTAATAAACTACTGTTGATACTTAAAAATAATATTTAAAACAATAATTATTATCATTACGGATGTAATCCAGTATGGTACTAACCTGGTAAATATTAGTATTCACCAGATGATATTCAAATTGCTATACAAGTCAATAAAAAAAATAAAACGCAACGGACAAAAGTATAAATCAGTTATTTTTTCTTTTATAATTCCAAGTTGACATTGTTTCATTGAATTAATGAAACAATGCATTGGATTGCATTCAATGAATTCGCTATATAAATAGAATAATAACTGTATTATTTCCCCACATTTAAAATTTGGAATGTGACGTCACAAAATCGAAAAGTCTCTCCAACATCTCCCCCTCCCTGAAGAATAGGAGTCCTGAATTTGTTTCACGTTTTTTTCACGAACTCTATCCCTCCTTTAATTTCACAAAATCTAATAATCTGGAGGGTAAGGGATTGTTAATAATGTGAACTAATCCATTGCTAGCAATGTACCAAATCAGGTTCCTGGTGAATTTGTCACGATGGGCCAACTGACCTGACCTCATGCTCATCTTGTCATCCTCCACTGGTGCTTCGCTAGCGTAAACCATTAACGCAGGCGGGTGCACCATACTATTATCATCTATTAAAAAAAAAACCTAAGAATCTACCCAACATTTCCCCCTCCCTGAAGAATAAGTCTTGAATTTGTTTCACATTTTTTTCACGAACTCTATCCTCTAATTCCTATGTCACAACATTTAAGAATCTTCCCAACATCTCCCCCTCCCGTGAGAATAGAAGTCTTAAATTTGATTTCTAATTTTTTACATCTATGCCTTCTTTGATCCTTTAGGACCCTTAACGTAATTTATGACCCATTATTATAAGCACACTTTTTGAACTACCCACATAAGACCTAAGAATCTTCGTCATATGTTTTTTTAGTTGGATATTATTCATCTTATGGATATCCAATCTCCCCGACAGGAGAAGAGGTACAGTTAGACTCGCAAAACCCCCAGGCATCCCAAAGAACTTGGGATACAACCTAAAGTACCTTAGTATTCTGTTATGGGGGAAAAGGGGCTTGTAAGTCATGTGCGCTGATGACACCATTGCTAGCAATGTACCATATCACGTTGACCTCCACCTGGAAACCTGATGATTTCACATGTGCTAACTGACTCGACCTCATGCTCATCTTATCACTCTCCACTGGTGCCCCACCAGCGTAAACATTATCACAGTTACACCATAAGTTGCATACAGTTAGTGCACCATCACATTATCATCAATAAAAAAATACACTGTGATAAAACAAATGTTTGTATCACATTATTTAGAAAATATGTACTTACAGTCGTTCCAATCCATTCAGTTCAAGAAACGCGTCCCTTTCCACCGTGTGGATTAAATTCTCCGAGAGTTGTCTGTGAAAAACAAAAAAGAAATTATTACTTTACGGCTAACGCTCAAACGCTGATTTGGTACATTGCTAGCAATGGATTAGTTCACATTATTAACAATCCCCTGCCCTCCAGATTATTAGATTTTGTGAAATTAAAGGAGGGATCGAGTTCGTGAAAAAAACGTGAAACAAATTCAGGACTCCTATTCTTCAGGGAGGGGGGGATGTTGGAGAGACTTTTCAATTTTGTGACGTCACATTCCAAATTTTAAATGTGGAAGAAGTGGGGAAATAATACAGCTAAGTGGTCCCGGAGGGGTGGTCTACCCACAGAGACCCACACTCTTTCACAGTTGAGCAGGGCGTGATAGGTCGCCCTAACGAGATAGGGTCTGCCCTACACCACAGCGCTCCAACAAAATGGCCTCACACGCTTCTACAATTGAGTAGGGCGTGATAGGTCGCCCTAACGAGATAGGGTCTGCCCTACACCACAGCGCTCCAACAAAATGGCCTCACACGCTTCTACAATTGAGTAGGGCGTGATAGGTTGCCTAACAACGAGATGGGACCTGCCGTACCATTTACAAGCCGAGTCCACGCAACGGAGTCGTAATAGAATGCTTACGTGATCTCGCAACTCCAGCAATGGCGCTCGTAGGTACTCCGGGTGGTTGTTTGAATCACACACACCCCCTCGTCAACCCTCTTAGGGGGGTGGGGGACTTTCGAAGATGTGTGGTTTCTTAGTGAGTAAGGATTCCATACAACGCCTCGACAATGCTCTACGTGGAGACGGTCTTTCGAAGATGTGTGGTGTCTTAGTGGGTAAGGATTCCACACACTTCCTTCTTCCGAAGAGAAGACCGTTCCTCTACCAGAGCGCCTCCTCTGACGGAGGGGCGATCTTTTAAAGATTTTTTCAAAAATATAAATTAAAAAAAAAAAAATTAAAAAAAAAAGTATAAAAAGGTGTTATAGTTTTTTATTTATTTATAGAGAATGACAAACAAGCTTCCTACTTAATAAGTGGTAAGGACTCGAATATAAAAAAAGTGAAAATTAAAAACTTACAATATTTTCAGTTCCTTCAGGTTTTGAAAGTCGCTCTGGAAAATTATGGTTATGTTGTTGCCCTGGAGGTCTCTGAAACAATAAAAAAAATAATTAATATTTGTTTATCTGTATCTAATAACTAGCGAAGTGACCCGGAGTCGGTCGTGTCCTCTGTAACTCTAAGCCCATGTACTGGAATTGTGTTAATTTTTTTGGTCGCTTTTTTGGTCACGGCGGTGACAATATACGCAGTGTAAATAGTTGTGTGTTTTATTGCCCTCTATAGTAAATCGTGTTAAACAAGGTTCATACACCAAAATAACATTTTTTACAATTTTTTCCGGCTAATCTCTGAAATGGCGGGACTGATTTTGACGGGACATTTTTTGGCAGGTAGCTGATGTAATAAGAAGTATAACTTGTTTTTATCGTATTTTTGATTAGCCTAGCTTCAGAACTAGTGTCATACTTGGAAATTGTTTTTTTAGTACTCGTAATCATAGAAAAAATATCCTTAAGGGGCTGCTGTTATAGTTAGGGTCCTAAAAGACCGAATGTATGAGATTTTAACGTAGTTTTGATATCTTCAAACAAGGCTAAGTTTTTGCCAACCCTGGTTTCTGTTCCAGCCCTTTCACAAAATAATTAAGCTAGAGTAACTTAACTCGTGCACTTAGGTTAAGTGAGCGAGTGAGCCGAGCAGACCGCTGCTAATGTAGCATTAAGTTGGGAATAAGTTAATCATCTTATATTGGCCTAATTTATTTTTGAACACGGTTATAATATTTTCTACAGTTCCGGCTGTTGATGAAATTATTTCTTTTTCATAAAAATGCAAAACAATCGTAATGAGGTCTGTCGTTGTGTGCCCGGGCCTGCGTAGGTGCTCGGTTGATGTGATTGAGATCATCGTCTTTACGAGGATACCGCTAGGTTACCAAGCTCAGCTCAGATAGACGTAACTTGGATCCCTATTTAAAATAGAATAGAATAGAATTTTTATTAACTCGTTTTTACAGTAATAACATAAGAAATACAAGAATGATTTACACATTAAAAAACGGAGTCAATGTGGGCCACAACTCAGCATAATGCTGGAAATAGTTTCCAGCGCTGATTTTCAGTTGGGCCCTCAGTACGGACGCGCAAATATTACAATTAAAAAATACGTATACATTAACTTAATAAATCAGATATTATGCAATTAAAATAAAAATAATAATATCAAGAGAAAAGTATATAAATAATAAAAAGTAAAATTATATATTAATAATCTTAAATAATAATCCTAAAACATTATATACGTAATGGATAAAAGAAAAAATGAACAATTATAAAGAAATAAAATAAAAATAAAAGAAAAAATACCCACATTGATGCGTACGGTGCATTTTATGTTTTTATTTGAATGGGGGTCAACTGGAGAACGGAACAGAGAAGCTTTCAACTGGTCTAACGTACCTAGCTTTGACCATCGTTGAAAACTTCACTGGAAACCACGAAGATTTCCAGTGGAGACCGCGTGGAGACCGCGTGGAGATCGTGGAGGTTTGCCTTTACGGTATTTTGTTTATATTAAAAAGAAAGAAAGAAAATTGTTTATTTGGTAATTGTATATTAGGAACATTCCTTAACTTTCCCCTACCCTTTCGCATTTAACACTGCCTGTAACAGCCTCAATAAAACGGGCATACATAACACATTTATAAAGAGGTCGTAAAGTGTTCTTTATGGCACTCAAATAGCATACATCGTATAAACATCTAACTTATCTAACTAGCACGGGAGGTAATGATTTTTAACTGTATGCCCTCAAAAATATTTGTTTTGTTTTATACAGTTTATAAATAGTAAAATTAACAAAAGTGAATAAAATTAGATTAGATTAGAAAATTATATTGGAAAAATGCTAACCTAACCTTAAGTTAAGTTTATTTGAATAAAGATTATTATTATTATTAAAAAAAAAAAAACACGAAGAATACACACAAAAGTATTGCTTGAAAAGCTATAGCTTCATATAACGGCCTACATTTTTTTTATAGCACCGGGGACAAACGAGTCGCGGCTCACCTGATGGTAAGTAATTAACGCTGCCCATGAGCACCCAACACCAGGGGAATTGCAAGTACGTTGTCGCCTTTAAGGAATTAGCTGTTTTCTTGAAGGTTTCAATATCGTATCGGTTCGGTTTTTTTATAGGGTATTTTGGGCTATAATTAGGTGCTAAACCTGTAGCACTGCGACCTACATAGATCTATTGTGCTCGCCCTTTCTCAGAGCTCGCTACCTAGACCCGTCAGAAACAAGAACAGCAACACCAGGGGAATTACAAGTGCGTTGCCGGCCTTTAAGGAATAAGCTCTTTTCTTGAAGGTTTCAATATTGTATCGGTTCAGAAATACCATTGCTGGAAGGTTTCCACAATGTGGTTGTGCGTGGTAAGAAGTTTCTAGAAAACCGCACGGTGGAGGACCGCCATTCATCTAGATGATCAGGGTGGTATTTTAGTTCCTGGCGTGTGGTACGGTGGTGAATTATAGCGTAAACACTGAAAAGTACATACAAAAGTAGAGCTTGCAAAACTTCATACAATAATTCTTGCCAAAAGAGTAAAATTGCACCAAAATTTCGTCTAAGTAACCTAATCAGCAGATTTTGCCAAACTGAAGAGGAAACGCCACTACACATCGTATGTGGTTGTAGCCCTCTCATGCATAAACGAAATATCTCCTTTGGAAAATTTACACTCTATCCTGAGGAAATAAAAACCATCGCAGCTAAGAATATCCTTCAATTCTTGTCCCTGACGGGTCTAGGTAGCGAATTCTGAGAAAGGGCGAGCACAATAGATCTACATAAGTAGGTCGCAGTGCTATAGATCTAAGCACCTGACAATAGATCAAACACTCTAATAAAAAAAACTAACGTAATACTGAAAGTACGGGTAATAGATAGTATTAATTTGATCACCACAGATAACCAAAGAGACAAATTTCTCCTTCTTATTCTATGGATTCTCGGTGCGGATGCCGGGTCCATCGTATGGCAGAGAGGGAAATTCCGAGCACTTCTTTTATTTAAAATTACACCGTTAAGCCACAAAAAACACGACTTTATCGATAAATAATAATAAAAATATGCATTCTTATAGATAAGCCAAAAACTTTAGCAAATGTATATAAGATCGCACATGACTATCCATCATTCAAAATAAAAGGAATCTAGATCACGATAGGCTCATCTAGAAAAGAGTTTCATAAAATACATTCAAATTAAGAACCGCCTTCCATTTTCGTTTAAAATACAAATTTCGATGGTTTATTAGATATATGGAGTATCTATTTACATGAAATAAAACAGCAATAAGTATATAAATTACGTTTATATATATATTTCTTTAAGAAACATGTAATAAATAACAAATCTGAATATTTAATATAATAATATGTCATCGGTTTACCGGTCCTAAGATTAAGCAGGCAACAATAAAAATGGGTCCTTTGCCTCTCGGTGAATAATGTGAAAAAGAAATTGGATTACAAAAAAAAACATAAGCCGTGGCCCTTCTAATCGCCTTAGTGGTCTATGGCACGAAATCCTCTTATGTCATAAAGTAACACGGTAATGAAATTATCGTAAAATCATAACAGAATTGCGCGCGTAACTGTCAAATATATAGGTTATTTTCTATCTCTTTCAAGCTCGAGTGATTTTATATCCGTCTCGCTCTAGAGAATTGGCGCCAATTTATTTTCAAAATGGCGGTCTAGTTATTTCTTATTATGGTATTATAGGGTTGTATTGCACTATCGTAAAACGAAGGAGTTATTGGAAAAATAAAAAAAAAAAATTTATGGGTGATAATTGAATGGTGCACGAGCCTGTGCTAACGGTTTACGCTGGCGGGGCACTAGTGGAGGATGATAGGATAAGAAAGAGGTCATTATTTGACGGCCATGGTGGTATAATGAATGAATTATTTTAGATTAGGTATATTTTTAATATAGGTACGTGAACTGTCATCGTTACACTACTAAAGAATCAATGACAATTATAGAGTAAATAGATAATTAAAAAGTTATGTCATATTCAAAAAAATTTAAAATATTCAAAATATCTTTATACATGTAGGTCTATTACAGAGTCTTATGATATGTCAAATCTACCGTCAGTTCGGAGTGATTTCGAGATGAGAAGAACTGATAAGAAACTCAGCTCGTATTTATTTCAAATAATAGTGGAACAAGTTCATAATAATACACAGTCATTAAAATTCAAATTTGGGAGAATAGAGCGATCACCAGCATATGCTATATAAAAAAAACAAAAAATCTAATCAGTATTCGCAACCTGAACAGACCAGTCCCCACATGCAGCACCCGTTCACGAGTATGACGGATGAGCCAGCCATCATTGCACTCAACCATATTAGAGGGAGCACATCGACCCGGCCCATCACGCCGCCACAAGTTTGAACTTTATAGCGAGCATGACTGTTTCAAGTTACTCCACTACGTCATTTATATTATTTACAGCATAAACTGTAATAAGCATAGACAATAATTATGTTAGTATTTGTATATATATATTTACTTTATTTATATCTACTTACTTGTATTTATTTTCATGTTATTATCAAATTCAAATTCAAAAATCATTTATTCATGTAGAACATTTTAGCCGCTTATGAACGTCAAGTTTTTACATTATAATTTTTTTCCCTACCGTCCAGTTCAGTATATAGGGTACTGGCACTAGTAGTCGGCCCCGCACCAGTACTCAGCCTTTTTCGGTTTAAAACCAATAGGAATAGCGCTATAACAGAAAATACCTAATCAAATTATTTTCAATAGCTTCTATGACTTCTCATTGGTAGAATTAAATCCAAACATAATAGCTACGTGGCTGCGAAGTACATTAAATATGAATCTATTTCGACGTCATCGGCTGACGAGGCGACATGCGGCGTGCGCGCCATTTTTTTATTAGTGAGAAGCGTTCACAGAAACGGTAATTTATTTCATTATTTTGTTAATTTTAGGCCACATTGTATTAAAATTTGCATTAATTAATAGTTTTGGCATTGT